CAATTCGGCATCTCGCTATATGCAGCGCTGAGCAATTACAACTGGGTAATACCACATACTATTAGCAGTAGTACTTTTGATGACCACATAAAGCATCGATAATTAGTTATGAATACGTTCGATTTGATACTAGGTTCTTGTGTGGGTATTTTTACCTACACATAGTTTCTGGAGGTTCTCGCTTGGTATAAGCACAGTCCCTCCGGTGTTGAGGGACTGTGGTATAAGCTTGAACGTACGCTCGCGTGACAAATGATACTTTTCTGTTATCACTGGCAGAACTATCACAGAAAGTAATGTTATTATATCTTGCATACAGTCTCTTGTTTGTTTGTTTTTCGATATTAATAATCTTTTTTGCAAGTGTGTATTTGGCAAAAGCCGAGTTAACGAATTTCTGTGAGTTTGCGAGACAAACTTGAGTCTGCTCTGATGTTCGGTGCGTGATGATGCAATGATTGACATGCTCATGAATACGCCAGTGCTACGTCAAAAATGAGTTAAGTTGTTTTACAAACAATATTTATCTCATTCATTTCACAAGTTGCATCTTGCAGTATTCTGTGATTTGTTCGGTTGTTTTTCCAATGGCATTGCAATACAGTGTCGAATGTACAGCGAGGATACTAGACTATTCATCCCTTCGATGTCCCGAAGGTGCGCCCTATCGCTAGTCTCGGAAAGCTTTGAGCATTCTTTTTATGGTTATCCGATTTTTGACCACCATACAATGCATTTCAGAGTCTTTTTTCTCTCCCCGATATCTCTGATAGCTCTTCCCACCGCTATCACCTCTGGGCTTTCGACGCCTTCCAACTGTGGTCGCCCATTCCGCCCCTGCCACCCCTAATAGCTCATTCATCCCCTATCACCTTTCCCACCCCTGCCACCACCGACCTCCTTTCCCGCCCTACCATCTCTAATAGCTCTTATCCCCTGCAACTCTGGTAGCTCTTTCCTCCCCTGTCTCATCTGGCCGCCATTTGCTCCAGCCCCGACTCCAGCATACAATGTGGTATAGCCGCTTGTTGAACTTCAGAATGTGGTACTCGCGAGACACCTACACACTATCATCATAACATCGCGTTCAAATTTAACACCATACATCAAGTCGTGTCTCATATACTGTGACGTCATTCACGCCTAAGTCCTTGTTCATTGTATAAATTTAAATATTTTGTCGTGATATCGTGTTTTCCAAGTAGGTGCACGTTGTTGGGTCGTACTCACTCTAGTTCAAATTCTATCCTAAATTTGATAGCAACAATTTGTCAACCGGAAGTTACGGCCACACACATGTTATATTTTATCGATTGAGTTAAATAGTTATATTTATTAGCGTATTTATTTACACCTCGTACGTGCAATGTACGAATATATATAACGGCAAATTTATATTAAGGGTGAGTATATATAAAACAACAAGATCCCACTGCAGTCGAGTGTTTACATACTTCTACCAGATTTATCTTAATTGTTTTCAGAACAACCAGCCACGTCACAAATACTGTAAAACTGACATTTATTTTCACTATTTTGAGCATATTCACTGGGTTCTAATTTTGCAAATATGCCAGTTCTAATGTTATTATATATGTTCGTGGGCATTTAACTAATACAGTATCACGTGACACAAAACCCGGAAATAGTCTGTTCTATCATGAAACTCCATTGTAATAATGGTGTAGATAATTCGGCAAAAAATGCTTATATTGACTGAGATCAATTTAATCAATCATTTTTCACTATTATGCTATTATAAAGTGGGAGGGTCGTCACCTGCGCACGCGCGGGAATTGAGTCCCAAGCGACGATAACAACACACGCTAAAAACACAAAGGCTATGGCCATCTGACGCATGCGTATGTGACGACTCCCCCCGCTTTAAGCACAGTACCGTACTGTCATGTGAGTCTACTAAACCGAGCCGGGGCCGAATTTCGCACAACTTACCTGTTTAAGCTGATGATGGCTAGTGTGAATAAGCACACAATCCCAAACCAGAATATAGTGAAACTGTGGAAATAACAGACGACGAGGCCGAATGTCCAGTCACTTACAGTCAATGCGTACAGCGATATAGGCATATCAATACATACCATCAACATGTCTGAAACTAGAGAAAACAGATAATTCAAAAAAATACAGAATTTTCTTGATCGTGAAGGCAGTATGGATAATTTAATAATACTAGTAGTTCGTCTGATAAAGTTTGGTGTTATATTCGCATTACCTTATTGTAGCTAACTGACTTCATATTACAAAGATATATTTACGCAGTATTGCAGAGTTACATAAAAGAAATGATGTTTTAAATGGAGTTGACATAGACGGCAATTCTTCCACACATTCATACTATACACTTCTCCAACGAGAAACACATTACGCACAATTTGAGTGACGTCACTTCTAGCCAGGTTTGCACAGTTGCATTTTTTCTATACAGAGTGAAGCCTCGAAAACGCTGAACGGAAGCCACTTATCGAAACAAATACTTCGTAATAATAGTATCGTCAGCTTAATCGTGTTGCATTATGAAAATTATTTATTTACATAAATTAATCAAGCATGTGACTAAATACTTAAAACTTTGTTTCAAGAAATATGACACATAGACATGTACTTATCATACATAATTGTATATTATCACACTATCTCAGGCTAATTAGCCATTTTAAACTGCATTTATCTTAATTTTCTTTAACTTCTATTTTTATTACTGTTTTTTTTAATTTATTACATAACAGCCTGAAATGATTTGTTAACTTTCATTATGATGTAATAAATGAAATTATTATTATTATTATTATTGTACAGAAAGTGTAATTATCCAGGTGGTCTTTGAAAGATTACTTAATGTTCGTCAAATATGCGAAATGAAACCCCGAAGAGAAAATAAAATTATTGATATCCATTCGTATATTCTGTGATATGCCTGTGGTACAACAACCAAGGTTTATTACTAAATGGCAACCCACGATCTAACAAACGACATACCAAAGATACCACTGTCTATTAGAGACGCACACAAAGTGTTTATAGGTGTTGATTAATCTCACGCGAATTGGAGAAAAGTCTCGCGAGATGATCACAGAATTATAGTTATCCGCAGTGAAAAATACCTACTTGATCTGAACAAAATGTTTCCCTTCGCGAGTCGCTGACCAAATTATGCTAAAATAATTAACGATAAATTTGACTAATACCTATTGCAGAGTTCATCTCATTAAGTATGCAGCATAGACAGCAACACGCACCTTAGTCTGATTTGACTTTTTCTAAAAAAATTGTTTATCTTTTTCTTGTCTTTACTTATTTTGTTGTTAGTTTTCCACTGTTTTTTAAATTGTAACCCTTTTCACCTCTTTCGAGGGATGTTATGTGTTAATAGATACATTACTAATGCATAACGATACGTGAGTGTGAACAAATCTAGTGTGGTGTTCGAGTCTGACGCATGCGCAGGTGACGACTGCCCGCTTTAACTTATGAAGTGCGTTGATCTATGGTTGGACGTTGTGCACTAATGTACAATTCACTAAAAAATTTGAAATGTGTGTTTTTGTACACCTATGTATGAATATAAATGTGATATAGACACGACTTGTACATTATCTCTGTGATATAATCAGCACTTAGTTATACTGACAGACGAATGTGTGACGTCCGATCCATATCTGTCTTTGTTTACACATCGCTACTTCGAGATGCTGAATTGTTCGAATTAAGAACATCGAGATACGAAAACATCGAGTAACGAACATCGAGATACGAAAACATCGAGTAACGAACATAGAGATACGAAAACATCGAGTTATAAAATGATCACGCCCATATTTCAGAAACGACGCCCAATTTGTAAGTTTTAGTAACTCGAACTTTAAATATCAGTTAACCGAACTTCGAACTACGGGAAATACTAGTATACAACGTTAAACAAAACAAGAACTCGAAGTTCGGTTAACTGTTAATTAAAGTTCGAATTACTAAATGTGGACGTTAAACGAAAACAAAAATATATATTGCCCGTAACTCGAAGTTCTGTTAACTGGTAATCGAACATCGAGTTACAATTTGGGCGTGGTTTCGAAAAAGTGGGCGTGGTTTCGAAAATATTTTGTAACTCGATGGTTTTGTAACTCGATGTTTGTAACTAGAACAATTCAACATCTCCGTTACTTCACAGTATATACATAAGCATTAAAAACACCACGAGGAGGTGTGAGTTAGACTGGCCCAGCTGTGGTGATTTTTTTTTTTCAGTTAAATTATAATAATAACAAACTTGGGGAAAAAATAGTTTTAGGGCGGTAGTTGTCGCGCCACGCATGCGCGAGATATATGGGTCTCATATAAACAAAGATGGCAACTTTGACTGTTGCGCAGATCAACGACTACAAACTGAGTCGTTACGTAGCTTTAATTAGATATGCATCGCGTCGCACCGCTGTCGGTCGCACTGTACTGACATCTTGTCGTACGTGCCGAACCACATCGTGTGGTACCAAATCGCGATAATTTAAAATCAAACAGTCGAAAACGCATAAATAATCACAGTACGTTCCAAAATCCGTCAAATCGTATGGAGGCGATTTAATAACGCTCTATGTACCGTGTAATTGAGAGGTGATTGATGAATACTTGCTGAGTAATGTGTTTGTTCACATTCCAATACAAGACGATTAATGTTAAATTTGGTGTCATTTTGGAATTTATTAATGTTTTAGCATTGCATATAATTTACCGAATAAACATTCCACGGGCAGTTTAGGCTCATTTGTATACGTTGCCTCATATTTATATTTTATTTTTTAATCTTACTAGTAGTTTTATTTTGAAGCCGATTTGGAAGGGGTAGTTCCGGCAAATTGCATGCTGGTAATTATTTAATAATCACTTCACGACACGAATATCGGCATGAGTCGCTCATATTTTGCGACAACGTGAGATTATGTTTTTTCATGTGCAAACACTTATTTCTTCCTAATTGCAAACATAACAAATAGTCCAGCTTTCTTTTTACACATTCCTGTATCCAAACAAAGATATGCTGAGTGAATATTTTGATACAAATCTTGTATAGCTTGGGAGCAACATCACTATTTCTAAATACTATGGGTAATATATCTTAGAGGCAAATAGCCGCCTAGATCTCGTTGGGAACGAGAAAGCTGCGAGACTTGCGTTTATCCCTCATTTTCATTCGCTCCGTCATCGCATTCATGTCCCGATAGCCACGGTTGAGTAGTTCAGTAGAACAGTAAACGCAACGACAGAAGAGATTAGAACACTACTCATGACTTGAAAGACAAAAACCAAGTCTCGTGGCTCTCGCTGCCAACGTGATCTTGGCCGCTATTTGCATCTAAGATCTTTCCAATCAGTCACCATAACGAAGCACGGGCGTATCACACAATGCTATAGGAGAAACAAAATACTAACAAATCAAGATTTTACCCTAAAAAACCTAAAGTATGTGCATGATTAGTAATCGTAGTTTTTTTTATTCGACATATATAATAGAGGAAATATATGTCGTTGATAAAAATAATCACGTGACAGCATCCTGTCAAGTGGTATTAGATCTAGATGAATACTGTAGGGTCAGTTTTGATGGCATAGATGGGTTCAAATGAGAATTAAGGTATCAATTCTAAGTACTTTACAACAAATAAAACCTACTAATGATGTGTGACCAACGAGAGAATCAAAATAGAAATGTTATTGTTAACAGAATGAGCAAAAGATTCAGTTTGCCGATGTGTCGGATGTGTCAACAACCAATCGTAAGACTGGTTACGAACCACACCGAGGTTACGACTTGGTTAGCCTCGCTCAACTGGTTCGTAACCAGTCTTGTGATTGGTTCTTGAAAAATTCTGAACAGGCCACGCCTCCAACTGTGCCGTGCGTTCGGGTCAACCGTTAATTATTCATAAATGGAGTCAATTTGTGTAGATTTCTTGATTTATTCTGCAGATATAGGTAAAATATATGTAAGCCTTTGGTGAAATTTAAAAGAGCAACTAACATTTTTAAACCTCGTATTTTTTATAGATTTTATTTTTCATTCTGTTCGTCTGTTTTTTCAAGTTTAAAAAATGTGAGCTGGCTGGAGCCTTCATCTCTTGTCTATTTCTTGCACGAGATACCAGCCGATACCCCCCCCCCCCCGCTTATAGGGAGTGCGTACAGTTGATCATAGTTCCTGGGCTCACTGTGATTATACCAACACTATTGTTATACTAGGGAAACTTTGTTTCATTTCCATCGAATTATTGATGTGATACGAATGCAGAGTACAATACGTGACTTACCTGCTAAGTTTAGAATCAAGTAGTTCGCTATTGTGTGTAATTTAGAATTACAACACGTGACCGTTATCACTAAACAATTACCCACGATGCCTTGCACCATTATGAATGCCTAAAATAGAACAGAATATGGAAAATACATTATTGTATCAGTGGAATGAATTGACGGTTTCACTACAATGTGTATTTGCCTCTCATTTGACATCGTCCCTATTACCCATAAATCATTGCGTTAGTCCGGCACGAGATAAACCGCATACGATAAAAATGAATATCGTCGCAAGAATAACCAATTCACTATTGTATGAAAATTATGTTTTTGGGGAAATCGGATAATTTACACAATCTAATGTTTCGTCTGAAACGATCGAAAATTGTTCGTGCCACGTTCTCATCAATATTATGTTTTTATATAGGAAGCAGCATTGAATACAAATAGAAACACTATATTTATTGAAATGTGCTTCATCACGTGCATCAGACCTTGGACGAAAATGGCCGCCAAGATCTCTTTGAGATCGAGCTGGCCAGGTGACCTGTTCTTTCAAATAGTCTCTCATTCTCTTCCGTCACCACGCCACTATTCCCTCGTCTTTATAACTGTGGTGTTTTGAACAACAGTGACAGGAAAGAATAGAACACTTTTTGGGTCACAAAAACAAGCCTCACTGATATCTCGTTCTCAACAAGACTCGTGTCTCTCTCGTTCTTTGCGAGATCTTGGCGGCCACGTGACCTGTTCTTACAAATAGTCTCTCATTCTCTTCCGCCACCACGCCACTATTCCCTCGTCTATATAACTGTGGTGTTTTGAACAACAGTGACAGGAAAGAATAGAACACTTTTTGGGTTACAAAAACAAGCCTCACTGATATCTCGTTCTCAACAAGTCTCGTGTCTCTCTCGTTCTTAGCGAGATCTTGGCGCGTGAAAGAACAGGTCACGTGACCTGTTCTTTCAAATACTCTTTCATTCTCTTCCGCCACCACGCCACTATTCCCCCATCCTATATAAGGTTGGGTATTTGGAACAATAAACAGGAGAGAATAGAAAACAAATTTCTCGTGGCTCTCTCGTTCTCAACGAGATCTCGGCGGCCATTTCTACCTCAGATCTACGATTACAACATATATAAACTCATTTGGTTATTTCATATTATTTTATTAATTATTCAAGAGACACCTACAGGTTTCCCCTCAATCACGCCACTCGCATGTGTACAACACTATCTACATTATCAGCAGTGATGGGTCCAGCAAAATGTATTGGGGGGGGTCCAAGCTTTGCTTAAGATATACGGAGCGTAAATCGCAGAGAAGCTATGCGTAATCCAGATCATATGAATCGTCATGCGTTGAGGGGGAGGAGATTGACCCCCCCCTCCTCTGGATCCGCCACTGATTATCAGTGTTGTAAAGTAAAGTAAATAACTTTATTGATTTCGTATCCTTATTGGAATCTTGAAAATAATACAATAAAGTGTGTTGTTTACATAAACAACAGCTAGCTAAACTTGAAAAAGTGGCAAACTAAAGTAAACAATTAGAAAATTAAATCAATAAGTAAAACAGAACAAAAATAAAACAATACGAGAAATGTAAAATTGGGTGATTATTTTGGGGTTGGCTGGTGTGTTTTTCAGTGCAGTATATCTCTGCAGTTAAAGCTGTTAAAATTAATTTTGCATAGTCAGTGATTTCTCTGTTGTCGGTAGAGGTGAGAATTGTTATCATGATTTCTTCCTCAGCTACACCAGCTGAGGGTAAGTTATGTTCAGTGAACAGTTTAATACTCTATTGGTGCAGTTTGTATTTAGCAGAAAGTGTTTCTCGTCTCCTGTCATCAAGATCGCAGACTTTGCATTTTGTCAATGTAAATGTAAATGTTGTTTGAAAAGTCAAGGCAGCGAGGGATAAAAAAATGTTTCCGTAAATGTGTACGATAGCGTGGTAGTTTAAAGGGTAAAACATACGTGATAGTGCATGAAAATAACTTTGGAGTCAGAATTTCGTGTAACACGTATGTGACACGCGTCGTATTCGTCACATTGGATTCGTAGCGTAGCGTTTTATGACATTCGATATTATTACTGATATATGAGCCAAAAGTGAGTAAAAAGCCTCGTTAATAGACCGATTGCTTGAGCAGGTTTGGCATAATGATTTATGTACGTCACAAAGTAGTGATACGTCACAGAGTTGATACATATGTGGAATTCAGTCTGAAACCACCTAGTGTGGCTCAATAGACATTCCATCCAAATGCACCCGAGATCTCGTTGAAAGTGGACATGTTTTGTCTTTCAATTATTGTTCCATTCTCACCCGTCATCGTGCACAAACATCATGGCAGAGGCGGCGGCACTGAATTTGACATGGGGGCAAGATCTGCGTAGGAGGTGCGACCTAACTAGAGGGTCTTGGAGCATGTTCCAAGTTAAAAAAAATGAAATCTAGACCCTCTGAAATGCTATTTCCTGCATTTTGAGGGGCAAATTTTGCTGACACGAAGGGTTTCAGCTTGATTTTAGAGGGGCGACGCCCGAACATTTTTTTCGCCGCCACTGCATAGTGATATAGGTCATGGTGAATATTATAAGAATTGTAACACATACGAATGCATTCGTCCAAATATTAATAATATGCGTAGATATGTACACTTTGTGATGGGGGTAATATGCATTGTATTAGTGGATTTGATATGCAATAATCTCTCAATGATCAGCATTTCAATATTGAGCTATAAAATAGATTCAAATTCAAAATCAAATCGTCAGATGATCGGTCCGCGTCGTTCACGCATTACGCGCGATCTCGCGGAAAATCACCTATTGGTTTTGAAAAACGGACAGATTCATTTAGAGTGAGCAGTCAGCTAGGTCACCTTTTTTAACACTGCCAATACTAGTTTAGTTATATCGTTTTTTAAGGATTTTCAAAATGATCTGTGATTATGTTATTTACTATCTAAACTGTGACTCATTGGTTACGTGCATAAAATAATCCTGTGAAGTTGTTATACTGTCGTCTATGGACAGTTTAAAAAAAGGTATCTTAAAGCACGGTGGTCGTCGCACAGCGCGTGTTCGAATTTCATGTAAATAAACAATGTATTTTACACGCGTTGTATACGTCGCTATGAGTCCTTATCGAACAGGACGCGGCGCGACGACTGCCGCCCTTTAATACTTTAAGCTCAATCAGTTGTCTGCAAGCTTTCAGGCAAAATCCAATTATAGGCAAAGTGCTAGTCACCTAGTCCATATCTTGTTTAATATTTTCCTTCTCATCTGTGACAACAACGTCATCTGGAAGACCGACTGATTTCGCGTAGGACTGGTAGTCTTCAAGTTGACCGATATAAACAAATGCATGGACCTGCGGTCCCATCAGTGGATGTGTGAGGGTCGGCAAGGGGTATTTTCGTAATTTAAATAAATAAATAAACACAAATTTGTAGACATGGACAAGATGTAAAATGTAATAAGCTATTTTATTCGTTCGTAATTCGTTGAAAGGTCTTATTTTTTGTAAGCGTATAAAGCATTTTTCACATTAAATTAAATGTCGTAATTCGTACACAATTTCCAATTTTGACTCTTAAACACAAATTATCAAATATATTTCCTGTAAAAACGTAAAATGCTTTTGCTAATTCCTGTAGTCTCTACCGTTCAGCTATCCCCGCTTGCCCATTCATGTGTGTCAGTGTTACAGTCGCTACTCAGCTTCATGATGCATACAGCGTGTGTCATTTTCCGCCAATCAGAATACCAGTTATATCGTGCATCGGTTACGCTCTCGTTATAATGTGCCGTAAATAGTATCGCATTTGCACTTATTGTACGTACCAAAAAATGGCTACTGCACATGCGTATTAGAGAATTTCATTGCTTAATCGAACAATTACTCAAATGTGTGCTACAAAAACAGCGTTTAATTTCATGATGAGTCCAATGTTTCTATCAATATACGGTGTCAAACAGCAATATTAAAAATGAATGTATTCTCGATTCTCGGGGAGCTACGTCACGTTCTGCGTTGCTAAGGCGCGCACCACTGTACCATGTATTTCTAGAGAATGTGAGCTGCCGTGGAATAGCCAATGAAAACAGCTGAACTACGAGAAAATCTTGTGCAACCAAATATTTATATGTTGGACATTTAGCCGAAATCTCGTTACACTGTTCAGGGGAGTCTCAACAACTATCCTTAAAGGGCAGTGGTCGTCGCGCAGCGCGTGTTCGAAATTCGTTTAAACAAACAATGTATATTACACGTTGCTATGAATCTAATATCGAACAGGATGCGGCACGACGACTGCCGCCCATTAAGTACAGTTTTCTGAGAGTTTCGGCAAGGCGGTGAAAATGCCCGAATGTCCGCCAGGGAATATATTGCATCTTTAAAATACGCCCACATACGTCAAACGAGTTTATGCCTACCTATTATTTCGACAATACGTCCAACTTTAGGAATCCTTATCTATCCCTGGGTAAACCTTAGGGAAACGTATCAGAGGATGGTACTCAGTAATCGTTGTCTTTGGTAATTATTCAATATAACCATACGTCTCGGACAACGTGACCTTTTTCGCTGGATGGTAATCTATCACTAAAGAATAGCACATTTCCCGTAACGTCTGGTTTTATATTGATTGTGACAATCTAATACTATTTTCTACTGTATTTATCAGTTCTAACAGATTTCCTATTTTTTTAACATATCAGAGTGACGTGGATTGGGGAATGGTGTTACTTGGAAAGTAACAACACTCATTGTTATTTCACGTATTGGTGAGTATTTTCAGAATAAATTGGTTAGGCCCCCCTCTCATTACGTATAAATATGCGAGGAATTGAGCTATTGTTGTTATTTTACCCCGAAATTCCGACTACCTGCCAATTTTGACTACCAGATTGGTGTAAGCTCATGTCAGTGTGTAAATTACATATGGTCACGTGATCTTACACAATAATGTGTTAACCTTTTTAACACAATAAACTCGCGTAATGATTCCTAGATTTAAAACAATTATCAAGACAATAGGTGATGATGAAATATGATTATTTGATTCAAAATTTACATTGGTATTAAAGAAAAATATATAAAAATGTGGTCCACAAAGTTTGGCTAAAAATATTATTACGTTCAAAGAGTTCAACCTTAGGAACTAGAACATCACGAACTGTTGTTAGTCACTTAACAATGTTCATAAAATATGAGAACAACTGTTACATTCGTTGCCACCTGTTCTCGTACGAATAATAAGAATGGTATTATTTTGTAATTGTATTTTAACTTATATATTATATACACATATTGATATATTCCAAAATGTAGAACATTTTAATTAAAAAAAAAATTAATGTATGTTAGTGAAGTTCTTATCCGAAAACGAGATCGGCGACGGGTCTCAAATTGATTTGGTTGGCCTAATTCAAAATATTTTGATGCATATGCATTCAATTTCGATACAAATGCGAAACATTAATGACAATTCCACCTTAAATGCACTGTAAAAAGTGTCTTAAAGGGTGGCGGTCGTCGTGTCGCGTCCTGTTAGATATAGGACTCATAGCGACGTATACAACGCGTGTAAAATACATTGTTTATTTACATGAAATTCGAACACGCGCTGCGCGACGACCACGGCGCTTTAAACTACAGTATGCAGCTGTGGAATGGACACACTTGAACCACGATGAACGCGGATATTTTTTCATGAACTCTAAGTGTTATTTGCTGAATAAAAGACGAACAACCACAATACAATAACATGTCTCATGTCAAATGGCAATTACTACAATGCAGAATAGGCACAAACACCTATCCACGGTTACGAGAAGAATTTTCTTCTAGTAACCGTGACCTATCTTAGTCACTGCTTAACCGTTCACAGTGACAAACTAAATACAGAGTACTCTTTTCATTTTCTTTAATAATGTAAACCAACGTCACCTTTTTTTAAATTAATAACTTTTGAACAAAACGTGTTGTCAATGTTCAAATCTGTATAGTGTATCCAAAATCAACATTCGAATTAAATTGAGAGCATGTGCGTTATTATTTTGGCGGGAAATGACAATGACACGAAATTTTCGACTATACTCACCATTGCCGCTGACTCGAATATCTTTGTACCATCCTCTCTGTCCTGCAGTGCTTTCCACACCGTGGCGTTCAGGTTGTGATACATGCTGCCCCAGTGAACGTTTTCTTTTCCTAAGCTATGTAGTCTGCACCGCTGATGGCTAGCAGCTACTACTAGTGTGCCAACCAAACCCCAATGTACTCAGTGATTACATCTTCTTTTGGACTGATCTATTACACTATAGGGGTAACATGTCGCATTGGAGGGATTGTATAATCGTCGCTAATTTACTGTATCGGCGTTTTATTAAAGGCTGAATGTGAGAGAGTTTAACGGTTTACCGTTTGTAACCAAAAGATGTATATTATTTTTATGAACAAGACTTTCGAAAATGTAGCCCACCGATTCCTCCAATTGTCATGTGACACGTGTGTGTGGTTAAAGTGATAGTTTTCTTTAGAATGTATTTTGTTTAAAGGGCAGTAGTCGTCGCGCCGCGCATGCGCGGGATATGGACCGCATATAAACAAAAATGACTATTTTGATTGCTGCGCACACCAACTAGTACAAACTGAGAGGTTACCAAGCTTTATTTAGGTATTTTGGTGTTTGAAAGGTATCGCGTCTAATGTTTTTTTCGTCAGAATTTTATGACGAATGTCTGCACAACAAAACACATGTTTACGTCACAAAAGAGATTTGCTAATCAGTGCATCACACGAAATTAGACCGTAAAGTTTATCTAAGTGAATTACAGGATCATATGTGTCCATAGTGTCCAGACCAAACCTCCCATTCCGCCATATTAAGTTTTTAGTGGTTTCTGGCAAATCTCGCGCATGCGTGGCGCAACGGCCACTATATTGTTGAGCAGACCATTTACAGTGTACGTAATAATAATAACGTTCTAAAACGAGTGAAGAATAGCGCATGACAACCATACAGACCAGTGTATCCTTCCGCCCGTTTCACCGTAAATGAAAATACTATTTTGATTACTACTGAATTTACCATTTCCATGGCTTTCTTCAAGTTAATTTGCCAGGTGTCAGATTAAAACGAAATTGAGGATAACAACTCGGATTTCAAAGAAACAGGGAAGCAAGGAAATTTCAAAATAATATTTAATCGAAACATAACAAATTATAATTACTATAGGTTTTTCCTGAATACCTGTAAATAAACAAAATCATGTTCAAAACATAAGTTTATGATGATCAAAATGATTTGTTCTAATATCTTTCAAAATCAACTTAAAAATCTAACTAGAAATGTCAACTTGTTTATGCGGTTGCAATAAAACTCTATCTTATCTTATTTCATCATTGTTTTCGCATGCCTATATTGACATGGAATGTCTAGCCGCCTCATTCGAGATAGGTATCCCCCGTAATTTACAACCGTGTCGGAAAGTTTAAGTAAAGCTGAACAACACACCCACCTCACACCCATGTAATCTCATGTAATATCTTCGTGTCAAATGTGACAGTACGTACTAGATATCTCAATTAAAATGATGGATTAGTTGTGATGAGATCACGCTTGTCATGCGCACAGACCAGATTTGCATCATATGCCTGCACGATTGCATTACGTGGGCGTGGCAATAGACGATATTCCCGGAAGTCGAAGACACGGCGTTTCGCATGCGCGCGCATGCCGTTTTGGGGTGTAACGTAAACTTGTACGCGTGTTATGATGTTTCTGGGTGTACCAATTGACGTCACAAAAATAAAATTCCCTTCTATCGACTATCAGCAAACTGACATGTTTGTATTTTCCGCCGTGACAAAGCAGGAGTATTTTTGTACCTCAGTTTTGCTACTTCCGGGAAAGAAAGTACTAGAGCAGATACATATTGAAATATTTGTTTGCGGATTCTTGGTCACGTGATATATTTATCGGTTACATGACCAGCTTGCAGCATCATTCAAAGATGAATTTATTTATTCAAATCATGAAAAGTGATTCATCGATACTGTTATAACAGCCGTCTGCGCTCATCAGTATGTCTTTCATACAACGTTTTATTACACGTATCTAGGAATGATCGAGAGAGGGCGGGTGTCTATCATATTATAAGTAAACTATAGAGGGCGTTTATAACCCAGGGTGAATGAACTGTCACGAGATCTTATAAAACATATGCTAGTATATTATTTAGTAAAGATTTGTAAGTTGTTTTTTTTGGCATATTCAAATAATTTTGTTCGGGGCTGATTGAAAACAAAAAACATTGGAGGACAAAGTCTAAACCACATGCTAAACTTGCAAAATAACCCTACCTGTAAAATAGGTAGCGGTGTGTAAATTATACACTTAGATAGCAAGTCACAAAAACGTGTTTGTGAGATTATGGAACATTCTCTGAAAAAAATCAATTCACAATTTGCATCTCGATGTTCGTAAAAAATGTACAAGATGATACACCAATATCTTGGTTATAAATAATTTAAAGTTTAATAGGTTGAATTATAATGCACTTCCGTTTTATTTGATATAAGCTAGTACATACTAAATACATATGCCAAACTCTTAACCTAAGAATCTAACGTCCTAACTGCGAAATGCAAGTCCTAATTTTGGCGTTAAGCAGGGGAACAGGGGCACAGCGCCCTCTTACAGAACCTGGAACAGTCAGTAGATTATGATCAGTTATAACACAGTCCCTCTATCCCAGGGACTGTGGTTATAACAAATATAGAGTGTTACCAATGGTAACAAAGGTGTGCTACCTCTTATTGTACACTCGCCTACAAAGTCTCATCACGTTTTGCTAAGTTATGTTTTATTTAGATATTACCTGTGCGTGGAGAGAAAAAACGTCTATGGAAAAGAAAAGGAATTCTGGAATTGGACAGTTGAATATGAAGAACACGTGCCGCAACAATAAAATAGTTTTGATTATGGTGTTGTTGTTTGTGTTTGCGCCAGATTCATTGTCAGGGAAGCTGCCTCAGGCTTAAACTTTACTCAAGTATTTACATTTACGTTCGGCGAAGGGGGGGGGGGGCAAAGTGAAAAACAATTGCGTCAGAGATGGTTAAAATAATAATGTTGCATGACATTGCATCAATTGGAACTTCTCATTTAAATAAAAATAAGATGGATTTAGGATAAAAAAAATCTTGAGTAAACAACAAAACAACAACAACACTCAAAGATAATAACACTCACAGAATTTTTTTCAGGTGACAGGAGATAGTAGGTTGCATCACCTCTGCGTACTATGGGATTTTCCAATCGATTCTACAGTGTACTACCGAAAATCCTACTTCTCCTGCCTTGTGAAGCTATATATTAATTGTCTGCATTATATCTGTGAGAGATACGTTTTTTTTAACTGGTTTTTAGAAGAAAACTAACTTGCCGTACAGCTTAGCTTGGCTAAGCTAGCTTGGTTACCTCATTGATAATTCACTAAATTAACACCTTAATTGCGTAACTATTATCGGAACGTGCCTAAATGTGTTGACTGCGGTAAAATAAAGAATGTCACAGTCACGGATGATGATATACCATTGTGTAAAAAATGTGGAAGTAGCCGACTGGAGTGTTTGGAGACAGGTCATGGAGAAAAACAACCATCCTTAGTTAAAATTATGAATGAATTTTCTTATATTTTTATTGCTGAATTGAAATTAGGACAAGAGGGCGTAGTTAAATCTGTAACATTCATGAGTGACAAATTTGAAGAAATGGCGAGAGAAATTGCGCTACTCAAGAAGGCGAACGCAGAGCTAAACCAAGATAATCACCGACTACGAAGTCAAGTTAATACTATAGAAAAGGACCTCAATGAACTGAATCAGTACCATCGCAGGATTAATTTGGAGATTACTGGCATCCCAGAGACACGTGATGATGAAAACACAGAAAACATAGTACTCAATGATCGATCCCGAAACTACTAAGCACGATATCGATGTTACACATCGTATTGGTAAACGTGAAGATTCACAGCGGAACGATCGACCAAGACGTATCATCGTACGGTTCACGACCAGAAAGAAAAGAAATGTAATCTATGGCGGAAGACGTAAACTGAAAAATATTACCACGAGAAATATCGGATTTGATGTTAATAACCCAATATTCGTAAACAAAAACCTGCACCATAGCACACGACAACTACTCGGGAAAGCGAATGAAGCCAGAAGGAGAGCTAAATATAAGTATTTGTGAACAAACAACTGCCGTATATTTGTAAGAAAGGGCAGTGATTTGAGACCTATAATTATCAATGATGAGACTGACCTCTCTAAAATACGGTAATTTGTTATATGCAATATCTAATGGTCAAACACGTAAAATGATTTTCATAACATGGACCACACATTCTTTGATGACGATTTTCACGTCTCACACAATGTTGTAAATGACTCGTTTCCCCCCTCTGAATTTAATGAAAAGTTTAGTTCAGATTCCAATAGTTTGTCCAGTGTTTCTCACATAAACATCCGTTCACTTAACAGAAATATTGATAATTTTAAACTGCTTTACGAAACTTGCCTTAATCTATAATTTAAAATAATTGGAATATCAGAAATTTGGCAGTTTAATAATCCACAAATGTTTCATATCCCATCATATACATTTGAACATAACATTAGAAATAATGGAAGGGGAGGGGGTGTGGGTGCCTATATACACAATTCTATTGATTATCGACTTCTAAACTATAATGTAAACCACGCAGAGAGTTTGTGAATAGAAATTAAGTCTGGTAAAAAGGAAATAGTTGTTGTTGTTCGATACAGAAAGCCGGGTACAGATATTACAGAGTTTAGTTAGCGTAATGTGTAAAATTAAAATTGATAAATATTTCTGTGTATTGACAGGTGATCTCAACATTGATGTCTCAAAACATAACACCCATTCTGATAATTTCTTAGCAACCCTCGAAAGTTTTTATTTATATCAACTTATTAATGTTCCAACTCGTGTTACTAGTACCAGCAGTACTATTATTGACCACATATATTCTACATATATTCCAATATTGCAGAGAAGTTAAAAACTATAAGTCAAACAATTTTAAAAACGATTTGTTTATTCAATCTTGGGACATCACGCCTCTCATGAATTTGCCACCTATAAAATAT